GGTCGACCTGCTCCCCCGAACAGACTTCCTTTGAAAGAAGTCCGCACTATAATTGGCGTTCAATATTCTTGTGCTTAATATTATACGAAACTAACCCCGTGCTGAAAAACGATACTATGTTCTGTCGTAATCGTTAATTAATAAAAATAACGAAAATTACTGTGCGAGAACAACTGTTGTAAAAATATACCGCGTGCTTTGTTGTATTAATGACGTTACTTTATTCTAGTAAATTCTGAGTAAATGTTAGAATAAATTTCATCTATGTGAAGTTTTATTCGCGAGAAAGATGCAGTCTCGATGTTACTGTTTTATTAATGCGGACGCTGGAGAATTTATGATAAATACGATAACAGAAACGATAGAAGGCGAATCACGGTGTATAAATAAATAAGCAGAAATAGTGACTCATAAATATGAATATTTAGTCAGAATTTATAATTTATATTCTTATTCGCAAATTTACAAAAAGGTGACTTAAGGAATTTATTAGGTGAAGTAGTAGAGACTTCTTTAAATACTTCTGTTTTATTGCGTTTTCATGGTTTTTTATAATTTTATAAACGTATGAACATCTGGGATCCTAGCTATACTCTGTTCGATTGTACCGCGCTATATAATAATAAGTAAAATAATATTTTGCATTTAAAAATTATCAAAGCGATGTAAATGCCATTAAATAATGTAAAAAATATTTTAGTAATCACTTTGAGATGAACAGATACTACGAATAATTCTTTTCCTATTTGTAGCATATCAGATCGAAGTATATTTGTATTCGTGAACATTTTTATGTCGTTTCTTAGTATTCACGAACGTTGATTACAACTGATTCTTAGTCAGTGGACACATAGATCTTTGGTGAACTGCGAATCAACGGACGTCAACAAACATGCGTTCTTGAATGGTCTTCCATCGAAGGGCAGTGACCGTGTATCAGAGCAGCCTAACTTCGATGACCCAGTGACGAAGAATTCCTGAATGGCAAAACCATCGGTAAAATTTTGCATCGCGATAGAAAAAAAAAATCAAAGGAATTACATATTTCGAGGATGCAATTAAATCAGATTATATAAGTGAATGCACACAACACAGCTATCATTTCTATAGGATTTTATTAACATTGTTATCTCAATAGCATTAATTACAGATACCAATTTGCAGTGTAGTGTACTAACGAGAAAAAAAAATATTTAAAAAACAGGACATCACGAGTACATATTTAATTTCGACTTGTTTTTTGTTGGTTTTTTTTTTAAGAAAAAGATGACGATGAGCTGTTGCGTTATTTGAATTACAATTTTTACGATTACAAATGTGTTATGACGATCGATTGCTTAAACAAGGGGGGTGAGGGGGTGGATGACGTTTCCGACAAGTTGATTTGTTCGGCAAATGACATGCGATAATGCGAGATTCGACGGTAAAACCAAGCTGCATTAGATAATGGTGAGCTCGAACGCGTGTAATTTGCATAATAATTATTAACACTGTTTCGACGTCGCAAGATCAGCAAATTACTCCGTGTGATTTCCGGCACGTTCGAGTCGAGTGCGATCCAAGTATAAAACTCTAAAATTCTCCTCAGTCATAATGGGGGCAACGGTGTATTTGTGTGTGTGTGTGTGTGTGTGTGTGTGTGTGTGTGTGTGTGTGTGTGTGTGTGTGTGTATGCATGTGTTATGCCTTTTGGACTACGCATTCTACATGATTCTCGTAAGAAATAGTGTGTCATTGGCCTATTTGATACCTTTACGCGCTAAATAAACAACAGTTTCAGGTGTTCATATCCCAGGACAAATGATACTCATCTTTCTTCTCTTTCTTCTCTTTCCTGTAACAAATCTCTATGATTCATATACGTACATTTTTATTCATTATCAATAGGCTAACCAACTAACTCGTTCTGCATTAATCACACAATGATACACGCTTGATCGTGATCTCTTCTCTAAACATTGACGAACACGTCTCTTCCCTTCAATCTCTTTGACCTATCCCTCTCCCAATAAGTATGTATTTTAGATACGACCGAACAGAACACCAAATACATTAACTTTAATACTTGACTTACACGCTATTATGTACAGTCTACGAATACCAGCGCACCATGATTCGCGGTACCCAAAAAAGAAAACCGCTAAGTACCATTTACACACCGGCACACGATGCAACCATGAAAGACGAAAGTGCTCTTCGGAACCGGTCGATTGCTTAACGCGCATGAGAGACAGAGTAGGACAGTAAAAAATAATTGAAGAAATGAACTTGAGAGAAATAGAGAGGGAGAGAAAGAGAGAGAAAAGTAGAAAGCACGGAGCAACGACAGATCGAGAATGAAAGTGGAAGAAAGAGAAGACACGTTCACGCGTCCCGAGTATACGATGTACAAAAGATATTTATTGTATTTTTTTGTTCTCTCTCTTCTACCCAGTTTTACGAACGACGAATCGCGCGGGGATTCTCGTCCGAGCAATCATCCTCCGTTTACTCCCACCATTGTCTTTTACTTTGTGAAATACCAATAAAACAGCTGGCTCGATGTGTTTATCGTCTATAAAACTGGACATTTGTCAAACAACGGTATAAATTTCACTTTTTTTTTTTCGTTTGTTTTTATTCTCCCTCGCGAGTTACGAAATAGACACTAGAATAGATAAAATGGGTTACCGATCGATTTAACTGTGGCTACGCGAAGGCCAATTATATCTCGTAATATTCTACACCATACAATAATTCTAACATGGTTAATACTAACTGTAAGAGAAAGTGAATACAAAAAGAGTTTATTTGGTATTTTATGCGCGAGATATTATCCTAAAATAAAAACACTGAAAACGATCATTATGTTATACAGAAGAGAGTAACGAGAATAATCTACACAGGTGGTATAAGATGCGGATAGTAACGATGGGAATTACAAGTACTTAAAATCACTCATGATTTTTCCGTGTAAATTGCTATTTCTTATTAGATATTCAGTAATTCTATATTCACTTTCCGTTCATTCGCGCGACAGCCACAATTACATCATATAATTTCAGTTTATACTTATAGTTTGGACATATATGTAGCAATGTATTTAAAAGACAACGAGGACGGGATAGAAATGCTCACAATAATTTATAGAGAAATTGAGAACGAAATATTCCTACAGAAATACATATGTAACTAGGGCCGATTCATTCCATTGGCTCCGCACGGTCTTTTCACGTTGTCGCATACATTATACATATGTATACTAATAAAAGAAAAATTATTTAATTGCATTGTATTTACATTATCGAGATATAAAAATACTAATAATAAACATACCTATAGACAAGGTCCTTCAAACGATTCATCTCTTTAGAAATAAACTAATTCATAATCAAGTTTGGCAGTAATATTGTCCCTATCTATTTGCATTTCTTATTGTTGTTTTATAAGATCCTCGATTTTTATTTTGTAATTCACTCTCGGTAAAACGTATCGTCCACCGGGACGTTTCACGCTTATACATTCCCTTAATGCTACTCATTAATCTTTATATCTCTATTCTAAATTCTTTGCTACCTTGGAAGATTTCCATTGCACAGGCCTTTCCTGTGGGACAATATAAAAACAAACGTTCCTTTTTTTTTCTTTGTTACTCGTACAGCTATCATATACACTGGTCACAGTGACAGCGATTCATTTATAAAAACATGCGATTTCACGCAACACCTGCTCCACCGCTGAACCTAATCTCTAAAGATGAGCCATAGAAAACACACGATGCAGTCCATACATCTCACATTCATTAAGAAATCTAATAATAACTACAGTTCTCTTTTCTTCCTTTTTTTATGAAAAACAAGTTTAAATGCAGTAACGTCATAGTAATACGAACAACAATTGGAGATTCTTCCGAAACCGTTCGCTTTTCAGTAATCGATAGTAATGTATAGAAGTCGTTATAGAAATTGAAGATGTGTGGATTCAGCGAATTTTGCATTTTACACTCGCAGAAAATGTTTCAGTGTGTATAAGCCATTTGTCTCCCTAACCGTTAGGAGGCTTTTAATAAAAATAATAATACTCAACGTATTTGTCGTAACAAGATTCCACAGTCTACGCTGCAGAAACGACTTACAACATACACACGCGCGTACCGGCACATGTGCGCGCATGGTTAGAATATTCAGTATGCACAGATATATTATTTCATAGGCTAGAAATATAATAAATTTTATAAATGTGTCGTATGTGTTCATGTGCACAATCTCACTAGCACTGTTACAGCCCGAATATGTATCGTGCGTATAAATCTGCGATTTCTGTAATGACAGTCATGTGGAAGAATAATGAAACGGTAACTTGCCAGACACATGGATTTCATGTTTAGTTACTAACAATAAATCTCTAATATTTCTTTTTCCTTTAATCTCATCAGAGTATTCAGTATGTAATCTTCCTTCACTTTTTTGTATGACTTCGTGACCTGTAAGCCAATGACGCTTGAAATCCAGCTACTGTCAAAAACAATTACTCCATTCTGATAATCAAATAACTCAAGTGTAACTTCATTTGTTAGCAATATTACACAGCTCACCGACGCTTTTACTTCGAGGCGCATACCGTGTCTTTCCAATATGTTCTGATCCAGAATCGATACTATTGTATTTAAACTGGCTTATATATAGTAGGCTTTTGGGTGAGGAAATATGTTTCTTACCAACTTGTTCAATCTGACTTAATCGAAAATTATGACGTACAGGAGTACCACCAAATATTGTTTTATTATATTTCTTATCGTGTGCAGTTTTAGTTACTTCTTTTTGTTTCACATTTTTCCCGTCTTGTCGAATAGCTTTTCTTGAACTAGTGTCTGAACTTGAGTCATCATCTCTGGAGTAGTTTTTTGTTATTGAAGGAAATTTCCTTTGTAGATTACAGAAGAATACATCATCTACAGAGGCAGAAGATGGTTCTCCGTCACAGAGGAGGACAGATGTCTTCTCCACTGTGGGAGGCAATTGCTAGACAAGTTCTTCAGTCTGTGTACAAGTTGAAATGGAACTGAATCTATTTGAATTTTCAGGAGTCCTCGAGGCTTTTGGGCGAAAGAACCCAGCAAATTCAAGCAGATGCCAGAATCGAGCATATTCAAACCTCTCACGCCCATATTTATTCGAGCGTGTTCGAGCCTTCCTGCTTGCGGACTCATCACTAATTATGGGAGACTTCTCCTCCGTTTTAAGTTGAGCATGAAAGTTCTTAGAATCCGAAATGTCTTCATTATTATCGTTAAATGTATTGGAAAATGACGAAATTGATTTTTCTGCATGTTGTAGGCAGTCTTCAACCTGCGTACCGACCGAAGCTCTGAGCATTATTTGAGTGCTTTGACTTTGATGAGATGAATACTCCCAAGTTCTTTGAACACTATTCTTTCGACTTTTGTCATGTGGATTTTTTAAACTCTTAGGTAAAGAAATATGTTTCTTAACAACTTGTTCAATCTGATTTAATCGAAAATTACGACGTACAGGAGTACCATCTAATATTGTTTTGTTGTATTTATTATCCTGTGCAGTTTTAGTTGGTTCTTTTTGCTTCACACTTTTCTCAGCTCGTCGAGCAGCTTTTTTTGAACTATTATCTAAATTCGAGTCATCATCCTTGGAATATTTTTTTGTCATTGAAGAAAGTTTCCTTTGTAAACTGCAGAAGAACACATCATCATCAGAGGATGATTCTTCATCACAGAGGAGGACAGGTGTCTTCTCCCCTGTGGGAGGCGATTGCTAGACAAGTTTTTCAGTCTGTGTGCTAGTTGAAATGGAACTGAATGTATTCGAATTATTAGGAGTACTGCGTCCCTGACTACCCACATGCATATGTCCTCCTCCCTGCCCCCCCTGACTCTGGGAGAGGCTTAGTCGCCGTCAGTTTACCAACTCTACATTTACAAATTGCTTCAGTCGTTCCAAATACTGGTCGTATAAATCCACATTATTATGGCCAGCACCCTAAAAACATAATTTGTATTGTACATAAGACTTCTATTCCTTTTCACCCAATAAAATTATCAAATAAAATTACATACCTGAATCCACAATGGTTCCACAGCTCTTGGACACCTATCATAAATAGCCTCGCCATGACTGAAACTTATTACTTCGTCTTCAGTTCCATGAATGACCAAAACTGGAGATGTAACTTTGGGTATTTTATCTATACTATAAAATATAAAAAAACAGAATAATAAGATATTACTAAATACATGTATTTTAAAACTAACAAATAAAATTATTGTTCTTTATAATTTAATTGAATAAATTTATTTTTAAAAAAATAAAAGTAATACATCGTGGACTACGAATATTCAACAGCATAAACGTAACGTCTATTAGCGAAATATACGACGAAGGATTGTGCAATTTACAGGTTTCCATGACAAGTATTCAGATTAACTTTTATTGCTTCTGATTCGGAAAAACTAAGTACCCCTTAAACATAATCTAATGCGCACAAAATGTAAGAAAGGTTTTCGCTGCAAAAAATTTACGTCGATAAAAACTTGTTAAGTATACAATATACAAGGTGTACCAAAATAGGGAAATACGATAAAACATGCAAACACAAATCGAAAAAACAAACTATTCCTAAATCCAGACGAACCGTTTTGAAGAATATTTTCTGTGATCTGTTCACATTTCACTTATACTTAAACAAAAATTATTTGAATTGATAATAGAATACATTTTTTCAAAGACAAAGAATTTGTAATTATAAGTCTAAGAAACACGTGATTTGAACCTGCGAAGATTTTTGTAAACTATAGTGTAAAAATGTAAGTCCTCGATGTGTTTAAATGTAGCGTCTATGCACGTCATATGTGCCAGTGCATGTATGAGCGATCACACATACAACTAATTGGAATTTAAGCGTATCCGGAAAGTTCTCATAACAAAATTTTACCTGCTTACATCTATAAAAGAAAATCTCGGATTACAAAGCGAAAAAAAAATTTTCGATTTGTTTTTACAGATGAAACTTTCTTAATCGACATACCAGTTAATTTTGGGTCACCCTTCATATCCGCACCACGTGGATGAATATACCTAAACGCAATGCTACGTACTTTGACTTGTTTATGTACTTAAGAAATAAATATTATTGCGGTATCTAACACTTGCTATTCTTCGTATCGTATCTTTCCGTTATAAACCACAGTAATTGAAATGAATAGATCACGCTAACGAGACATCTACAGCTATCAATGACAAAATACAAAGGTTGAAGGAGAACAACAAGAATTTTATCGACAAACGAAAATAATACTATAAGAATACTTTGTCATAATACAAAATGCATTCAATCATGTGCTTAAACGAAACCGACTCCGAACAGGAGATGGTAGTTGATGACGTCACTCGCAGTCGGAGGTATGCCCTACACCAGCCAAAATATTTAGCGTCGACTATAAACTGAAGATAAGTAATGTCATGCGCGTGAAACTTAACAGTACGACTGACAGCAAAAGATAAGCGGGTTATAGATCGCGTATCATTAATAAAGTAAATAAGCGATACATGTATCGCCCAAAAATTCTGACCTACCTGGCAAAGACATCAAAGAACCACGTTCTTTTTGTTTTAGGAAAAGCAACTCGCATTCCTGACATCAAAGGTGCATGCAGAACAACTGCGCCAACTTCGTATCGTGCGGCTAGATCGACCGTGGGTACAGTCCCAATGCTTTGACCGTATAGAATAATGTTCTCCGGGCTGATACCGTATCGTGTCCTAAGAGCATGCCACGCAGCATCTATATCCGCGTAAAGGTTTTTTTCTGATGGTTTGCCACCGGAAATTCCGTAGCCCGAATAATCATAGCTGAATATGTTACAATTTATCCTGGAGCCAAGTCCCAAATAAAAGCTAGACATCTGTCCAAGATCGGCCGCGTTGCCATGAGAAAATAGAATGGTAAAACGTGCAGTAGCCGAGCACCGTACAAACACACAGGCTATTCGGTTTCCTCGTGACGTTCTCGCATAGAAACCTTCTACCGACTCTTTCTCTCTCTCTGTGTATGGCCACTCTGCCCTCTCGGACAGAGAAACCGCGAACTTGGAACCCTCGTCCTCGATAAACGTATATGTAGGTTCAGGTGGTAGAAACGCTAATTTTGCAGCGATTCTGGACGGGCAAGGTGGACAGCAAAACAAGCAACACAATTCACTAAAACTTAACCCGTTCATCGTTCCACAGGGGAGTCACGCACACGCGAAACACTGTTTATCACGTTTCCTCGTCGAGTCTCCGCATCGAGATCAGAACCTTTAACTAAAAAGTAGTTCCACACACTGTACACTCCCGTGCTTACTAATTCAATCGCAATGTCATTTATTATCGCGTTCCTGCAAAAATCTCTCACGATGATTCAGCCATGACGGCTCGCAAGACAGACAATTTCTCTCCCTCCATCCTTCTTTCCTTCTCGCACAATGCCCCCACCCACTAAACGTTGCGCACTTTCATTGTATTCAGGTGAAATGAGATACGTGACAAGGATGGGAGACTATGGTGTTGGTTTGCTGCGTTGCTCTTTTGCCCATAGCTCGCTATTGGTAAAGGTTTTAAAAACAACGAGATGATTCGATATGTAACGAAGAATGGTCCTGTATTCAAGTGCCGCTTTGTGCAGTACTACCAACATTTTAAGCAACGACACAAAGTCCAATCACCGATACATAAGTATGCGCCTTATGATAGTAACTACGTCTAGTGATTTTTTCGAAAGACAACTATGAGGTTAGCAATAGACGTCAACCTCTCATGGAAAATCGATTAAATCCAGGTATATGGTGGAAACTCGACTAGTTCATGTTGTTGCGTGATCGTTGCCGTTCGCTATATAGTTTTGGCCGATGGCGGCTGTCAACTGGTGTACCGTAATCTCTTATCGGACGGATTTTTATAGATTTTCAAATAATTTTGAGAATTCTTATTGGTAGAAAGTTACTGCATACATACGTTCAATTGAATTTTCTATGAAACTGTGAAATTAACATATACTTGTATGGCATCCGGCAAAGAAACAATGGGGTAAGTGAACGTGGTAATACTCCGCACCGCCTTTTAAGGGTGTGTAATATACATATGTACACACGAGGCACATTTTCCACGTCGCATATAACTACTATAAATTATCCTCAATTCTTCTATTATTGAATGCCGTCGACCGCTATAAAATAGGTCAATTTCATTGCGTTTACTAACGAGTGGTACTATCTTTTCCTGTCTATTTATGATCTTATCCCCGACATCATCGGAGATACGCGTTTAGGTGGGTGCGTATGAGAGAAGAGAGTTTGGACCAAAATGTTTTTCTTTTCTTTTATCTATATATATCCCACGCAATAGAACAACGAATGTCGAATGAGTCGGTACCGCCGCGTGAGATGTGTTTATTCTAGTTGTTTACTCGTGTATCATTCGATATATTTTTAGATTTGTATAATAAAGAATTTATTCCACAGATTATTAGAATATCTACTGTATAAATTTCTTTTTCCCGTAAAACATTCATATCCTGTTGACGTCATTAGGTGTTATTTTAAAATATGTATTTAAACACAACTCTCTCTCTCTCTCTCTCTCTCTCTCTCTCTCTCTCTCTCTCTCTCTCTCTCACCCCTCTTTCTTGTTACCTTTGAAACATTATTCACTATCACACTATTATTACATGTCATTTCTTTTCAGATAGGCTGCATAAGTGATTTCAGAATTTAGTAGAAGAATAAATATGTTGCATTTTCATTACAGTTGTTTTTTTTTCTTTAAAATGAAGAAGATTTATGAACCATTGAAGTTTCTTGTTACTTTTAAATAATGTATATAAATTGTACATATATTGCACGAATAGTAAATTTAAAAGGTTCAAATACAAATATACTTATTTTCTACAAAAACTATGAAATAAAATTGCTTGTTCGTATTATTTTCTTTGATTTCCAGCAAATATTATTACAGTTTTATTCCATTAATTTTAAGGCATGTACATACATTTAAGATTTTTTAATGTACTTAGTTTTTGTTACTTTTCTGTAGATTATATAGAATAAAATTATGTGAAAAGATAAACTTTAAGACATTCATTATTAAAATCCTATAGTTTCAGTTTTGAGTACAATGCACAAGTAGATATTGCATGTACCAATTAAAAAGATGTATTTAATACCTATATTACTTTTAATAAATTACAGTAAGCAACCTATTTTCACGTGCAAAGCACACGTGTTTCATATTGATCCCAAGACAAAACGGTCTTGGGTATCAGCATCTACAGCAGCAGTGCCTGTTTCATTTTTTTATGATTCAACTAGAAGTCTGTACAGAATAATTTCTGTAGAAGGATCAAAGGTAACTAAAAATCTAAACTTTTTAACACAGATGACTTTGTGTGATCTTAAATATTATTCACATTTGTTTGTTTAACTTTTAGCCAGTAATAAATAGTACTATTACTCCAAATATGATCTTTACAAAAACGTCGCAAAAATTTGGCCAGTGGTCAGATGTTAGAGCCAACACCGTATATGGTCTTGGCTTTTCATCTGAAGAAGAATTAGGAAAGGTTTGTGAAATATGTCTTTAGTTAACGTACAGCCATGTGTACACCACAATCTCAGAGACAATATCATTCATTTGGCAGTTTATTGAGAAGTTTAATGAAGTGAAGGAAGCCACTAAGTTAGCTAATGCTAAGTTACAATCAAACAGCTCCTCTGTTACTCCTGCTACTAGTGCAAATGTTAGCCCGATTACATCACGATCGGGTATGCCATCATCAGAACAAGATCTCATAGATCCACCAAATTCATCAATGATTAATTCCAACGTATCCACTTCAAATAATACAAATCCAAATGCCAATATGATCTCAACTCAAAACAATGTGTCTTTGGTAAGCAGCAGTCCCTTACCTGGTAATTGTCAAAATAAAATGGACGATGAATTGAAGAATGCAGTGCACTCAAGATCACAGAGTGTTTCTCAGCAGAGTACAGAGAGTCCACAGCATCAAGGGAAACAGGCACAGATTAATACTACACAAGGTGGACAATCGACTGAAATGCAATTGAAATATGAGAATGACAGGCTGAAATTTGCATTAGCACAAAGCTCTGCGAATGCTAAGAAGTGGGAGGTATGGTATACCCTCTGTAAACATATAAATATTTGATATGTGTAAATGTTAAAACATTCATGTGTACACGTTGATATAGTTTAGCATCAGGAATTTCCTTTTTTACTTGTTAATTGTCGAAGCTCAATTTTAAATACAGGTTGAATTAAATACTTTGAAAACGAATAATGCAAGATTAACAAGTGCATTACAAGAGTCTACAGCTAATGTTGATGAGTGGAAAAGACAATTACAGTTGTATAAAGAAGAGAATGCAAGAGTAAAAGCTAAATATGCGGACTTAGAAGCTGGAAAGATTGCAGAGGGCAATAGCGAAGCACTAAGGTTGAGAGTGGAAGCATTAGAAAGTGAACTTAGAACACGAAATGAAGAAATTAAAGCTCTTACTATGGCTACAAAAAATAAAGATTTTGTAGTACGTATACATCATAAAATTTGAGTTTTGTCTTAGTGAAATTTTCTATTCATGTTGCATGTTTAGTACTTATTAAAGTTATATTTCTCCTAGGCATTACAGAAAGAAAATGCGGAACTTCGTGAAATGTTGAGGGTTGTCCATGAACAATTAGAACTTGCATTAAGTGCAAATAAAGTCCAGAAACAAAATTTGGATACGTTAAATGCAAGATTAGCTGGATATATACAAGATTTGGTAACTGTACATCGAGAAATCACGAACACATTGCAAACTTAAGTTTGCACATAGTAAACCTGAGAATATTCTTCTTGGGAGTTTTGTATTTACAATATAAGTGAAGTATACAAATGGACGGTGTAGATTAATGCAAAGGGAAAGGTTCCAAAAAAAACATACATAGAAAAAATGGTCTGAAAAAGGCAAACTAAGGACACTATCTTCAAATGATAAGGATAAATTGCATCATTTTAAACTATTTATTCTATGTTAAGACAGAGTTCGACGTTATACTTCATAAACTTCTTTCGTGCCATACTCATATTCTCGTTGTACATAAGAATACTTTTTTTTAACATTACTTTATATATTATATTTTTTTTATTTGTATACTCTTGCACGTACAAAGAATTTCATGTATTGATATAAATACAGAAAATGCTTTTACTTCTACACAGATAAGAATGAGAATCTCTTTTAGAAACTATATGTCTATTATATTGCATCACCAGAATAATGTTAAAACAAATTATTGAATTATTTAAATAATATTTAATGTATTATTTTTTTTATGTACACCTCATTGTAGTGGATTTGTGTACAGAGTACCCTGCAAAGTATAGTACTATCCAACGGGGTGTGATTCTCTATAAAAAAATAAATCGAAAATGAAGAACAAACTTATTTTAAATACGGCTTTTTTTTCGAGATAATCGATTTTGAAAATGTACCAAATATGTGTACACTTAACTCACTTAAACTACCTTTCTATAGAATCTCCTGTTTTATCAAAGCGAGGTAAGAAAAATATTCAATAAAACAAAATGTCTACTTCCTTAAGGTATCATGTTTTTATCCTAAAAGTGCTAGAAGTGTTGCCCATGTTATTACAGACATGTGTGTATCTGGGCCCTTCATGCTACACTAGTATGAACTCTTTCTAATGTGTTCGTATTTTACAATTTCAAATACAAAGACAATCCACTCTTTTAAGTGTTTAATACTCGTCATACCTTCGAAATAGACTATTGATTATATGACTCCATAAATAAAAATCTAGAGGTCAAGGTATTGTTCTCCCGCGGCCTATTATATGTTTTGTGAATGTACAGTCTACATTTTCAAAACCGATTTTCTCAAAAATAAAGCCTCATTTAAAAAGTGTTATTTTTCATTTTCGATTAATTTTTTTATGGAAAATCACCTTGCTCGATACTACATTTTCTTGGATACCCTGTATACCCCTTAAAAGGAGTCTATAGTTGGTTTTATGTTACAATTACATATGTTAAATGTCTACCAAATAAATTATAATTGCAATTATACTGCGATCCTTATTAGTAATACTATTTCACTTATTACTATTGATCTTCGACACATTGGTATGCTATAACTCTCACTATACTATTACAACTATGATTATCATTATTAATGCTATTATACTACCTCCACTACTACTGCTGCACTACTACTTGCTGTTATTATTACTCATAGTATCATCATTAGTGCTACTTCTATAACTGTTACTACTGTTACAGTCAATCAGGTTGTCATCACATGCTTACAAAGGACTTTTATGATATTTAGAAACATAAAACATATCAAAAATGTCACAAGATTTAGTGTGATACATGTCTCTCAATGTTTTTTTGGAACTTAGCCCCTTGAAATCAACAATAAAATTCAGTTACCCATGGATACAATTGAAGGAAAAAGAATGCACAATTAACATTAGTAACGTTTAGTGATACTCGATTATGTAGTATAAACTATTTAATTCAGCTGTACATTCTATCCATATTGTTCTATCATATATTATTTACCTTTATCAATAGTCTAAGGATATATATGAAATTGAAGAGTCTGGCATGAGCTGTATGTACAATAGTGTTGATACCTACCACAAAATACAGCATGAGAAAAAAATATATATATATATATAGATATATAGTTCATTTACAGTGGGTAACTTAGTGGTTTCAATTTGAAGGATTATCAAATGTTTCACTATTGTGCAAAAGATGTTTTTAATGTGCAAATGTTTTGTTAATTTTTTTATGAAAATCATAATATACATTGATTCATTGTTGAAAAAAATAAATCTAATGTTTTCCAATGTAAATGATTTGTTATTCACTTGTCACTAATTTTTAAAACATTTTATAGCATTCAAGCCAGATATTCTTCAATATGTTATATTTGAATAGTATAGGTTCGCTAGAAAAAAATTCGCCCAAGGACTCTGACCGATCTTCAAAAAGATGTCAAGGTGATATTTCTTGTAACAATAAATAATTTTTAGTAGTGAATGAAGTGCAAAATACTAAAAAAAAAAGCACTTTTTATTGTACTGACAGTATGTATGTATGTACGTAAAAAATGTTGCGGAGTTGAATTTTAAATTTGAGGAATTGGAAACAAAAGCCTCGCTTGCCACATGTAATCATAATAAAACATTTTCAGATGGCTTTCCTGTATTCTCTTATCAATTATATTACTACACCTATGTTTTTGTTCATAAATATAGAAGATATTTACTTTAGAACTTTATTAATGTATCTTTGATATGTTTTTATGTTTTCATACATTTTTGTTATATATATTCTTCATTCGGTATCACGTTTCATTTAGTATTTCATACATATTTATATATGAAACTACTGACTTATGTGCATAGTGTATACAATAAACATATATATTTGCAATAAGTAGAATAATGATAGTAAATAGAATAAATATGCGAATATCTTCATAATAATATATTGTACATACACTATATATAGGTGTACAAGAAATTATTGAGTTTAAAAAACTGATTTAATATAAATAATCCTTATTACAATATAATAAAGTAAATATCTAACAATTAAAAAAGTCCAATTGCATTAATATTCAATACTATTAATATTTTAACTGTTATTTCAGAATTAGATATGGTCATCTCTTGTTTTATTAATGTGTTTATACGTGAACATATATTTATAACAATTATTCCCACAAAATTTCTTACCACTCGTTGGACACTTTAATCTCAGACCTTTCGTTTTGAAGTAATAAATTGTTTCTTTAACATTTTTTACAATGAAAATATGTAATTCCAAAGGAGTTAATACTATTTTAATTGTAGAAGTTTGAAAAATATGCACGAGAATTTCCCGCCTTATAAGCGTATTATGTGTATATAGTTTATCATCTATAGTTTGCTGCCGCAAAGCACGACACGTACTATAGTAAAATTGATCCGAACTCTACATCAATAACGTGAAACAGAAACATTAGTCTGTAACGCGCGGCGAAATTTTATGTTAACAAATATTGTAAAATGAAAAGTTTATACACTGACATTTGTGACCACTGAGCGTTAGTGACTTGAATTACTGTACTATTGTTGATACATACGTGCGTCAACTACTAGTGATCGAAGTATTGTAGAACTGAAGTTTTAAAATTAAGTTATTCAATTTTTTTTTAAATTCATTTTAGCGAAAAGTTTGTTTGATCTTGCTTACTATTGTATTGTAAAAGCAAGTGGTAAGTTTATACTAACAATTAATAGTAAGACTGATTAAATCAGTACAGCATAAAATATTAAATTCTAACATTACTGGAACCAACAGGATCACATTTGTAGCATGTGATTATATTCTTATATACCATTGTGTTGCTATAGTTTTATTTTTATATATGAATGATCTAACGAAATATGTATCTAGATACTATATCAATTACTTTACCAAACATCTTTGTAAGATACATATGTGTTTCTGTAATAAAATCAGTGTTCTGTTTGTGAAAATTTCAGCATAACCTTGTAATTACTTTTATTCTTTCATTTTTCAGAATTAGTAATCAGTGTAAATAAGTAAAATCTATCCTGTGTCACAATTATTTTTACATGTTAGTAACAATACGTATAAGTAATAAATCAGTTTATTAAATGTTACAGGTAAAAATGGTTGTACTTAGCAATTTCCTTGCACCGCGAGAGGGAATACGCCATGAAGAGCAAAACACTACTGTGTACATTAATGACAGAGAAGTGGGAAAAGGAACTCTATATATTACCGAGAGGTAAAAGCTGGAGTAGAAGAAATTTATGTTTCATAGTAGTACTAATGTATTTTAATATAATATTCGCATTGGTAGCTTGCTTTCTTGGGTGAACTATGATACACAACAAGGATTTTCACTTGAATATCCTCATATATCTTTACATGCCATATCACGAGATCAACAAGTATATCCAAGACAATGTTTATATATTATGGTTAATGCAAAAGTAGACCTTCCAGGTATATTAATCTTCTTTTGAACATATTTGTGTGTATATTTTGAAATAGAATAAAAGTTAAATAGAACATATTTAAATGCAAAAATTAATAAATTAAAAAAATTACATTATTGTTCGTTTTATAATGATAGTTCATATTGTTCATACAATTTTTTGCTTAGATGTACCATTACCAGCATCTTCTGAAAGTGGCTCAGAAAATGAAGATGAAGACGTAGATACACCTATCACAGAAATGCGTTTTGCTCCTGATAACACAAACAACTTAGAAGCAATGTTTCAAGCAATGAATCACTGTCAAGCACTTCATCCTGATCCACAAGATAGTTTTTCAGATGGTAAATAAAATTGCCCTTGTAATAATTTACATAAAAATTCCGCATATCATGAGAATTTTATTACTATAAAATATATATGTTTTACAGCTGAAGAAGATATTTATGAAGATGCAGAGGAGGACGATTTTGAAAATTATGAAGTTGGCGCTGGTGATGCCCCCTATATTTTACCCTCAGGTAATATTAAACTTATTTGATAGTAATACAAAATAAGAGTGTTTGAATAGTGTATGTAATATAAACAATGCCTTGTGTTTATTTCAAGTTCAATTTACTTTATATCGCTAGAACAAATAGGCATGAATCATAATGGCACAGAAGCAGACGATGCGATGGATGTAGAAGCAGGTCAGTTTGAAGATGCAGAGGAAGATCCATGAAGCGTGATGATGAAAAAATGCAGATATGCGTTTAGTATTAATTTATAATAACCAGTATCATATATTATGGTAGATATGTGATATTATGGCAGACTGTATTACAGAGCTGTATCAAACATAAAAACACCTAACATTTATTTATATTCATTTTGTACACGGGAATAATTTCTTAGATAAAAATAAACAATTGTATATCAAATTCAACTTACTGTATCTGTTTCTTTAGTTAGAAAATAATTACATTCTTATACTGATCAGAAATAAAAATGAAACTTAATATAAAATTGTCATTCATATCAATTAATAAAAATTCATTTACTTTGAAATAACACAAGTCTATGATGCAGTCTTAAACATATCTTTTTAATATTTAACAAATATTGGATTAAATTATCGAAAAAAGTTTATATGATTTATTAGTATATTTCTTATTATGTCAATATGTAAATTCTGATCGCACAATTTACACGTTTACGTTAAATGAGATTAATACGGCAGTTTGGCCAACTATGTTTTTTTTAAATTTGATCACTTTTTTGACATAGTAATTATATGATTTACTATACGCCTAACCAGCAAAAACATAGGTACATCTAAATGTGTCAATTGTATAAAGAAATAATAATATTGGTGCTCAACATTTCTTGAAATACATAAAAATACATATTGACACATATAACAAATTCGTGCATTCCGAATATACTTATTAAACAAGATTTTTTACAATAAAAATCACATAGGACTGAGAACCTGTATGAACAACAGATACGCATTTCGAGTTGAAAGTAAAGAAATACAAAGCTGTTTTGAATCGTATATAGAAATACGAAAATCATGCAGTCCATAGTTTTGTACAAAATCACTTTTGATTTTATAGCATGACACATATGCTTTCAAGATCAATCGAACAAATTTATCGAATCTTTTTGGGACCAAAAATAAGATCGGCATCTGGTGCACCTTTAGGGTGGTTATATTTTTGTCGTCGCTCTCTATTTAAATTTACTGTCACTGGTCTTGTACTTTGATTAATTGTTTCTTGGTAATCTTCCTCTTCTTGCCTTTCCGTTATATTTAATGTTAATCTTTTAACTCGTTCTTTTTCTTCCTTCTGTTCTTGTTCTCGATTTCGAAGGTTCATCGCTAATTCTGATGACACTGGAACTGCTAAGTTTTTATACTGTTGTTTGTTACCTTTTCTTAGCATAAGAACAAAGTCGACTGTACTATTATCAGAAGGTCTCTCTTGTAATTGTTCGTATGTTTTTTTAGTACTCTTTACATGTAAAGGAACTGAAATATCTACTTGTTGTGGTTTCACGGAATCTCGCATTCTGTCTTGTATGTTATCTGAAACCATTTTATCAAGAGCGGATAAAAAGTCATCATCTTCAGGACAACTCACTCTTCTAGGACCTGCTGGTAATGCTGCATTCAATTCTGTGACATCCATAAGAACACCATCTGTACCACCTTCTGAAAGACTTTGATCCCCTTGTGTATTTTCTTGGGTACCCATAGTATCATCTCTTTCTGCATCAGCTGTCCATTCTTCTTCTGATTGCGCTTCAGAACAATCTTCGGATTCCTCAAAATGTAAGTCAGCTACACCCTTTGCATCTCCACTGCCATTTCCAGATGTTACAGTAACCTCTTCATCACCTTCAGCAATTACACCCATATCAGATTCTACATCAGCACCATCCTCTGCAATGGGATTTCCAAGGGTGGGATACAATGTATTTCGTAATTCTTCTACAGCACATTGTGCTTCCTTATAACTTTGAAACAGCTGCATTTTAGGCCTCAACATTGTTAATGTGTCGCGATACATGTAGTCTATACCCACTGGGAAATGATTCTCAGTGGTCCAGATTGGATCTGTGTATTTAAACCAATAATAATTTTGAAAGAATATTAGAAAATAGTCCAGTTTTTTCTTGCTAGAACCACTGCTGAAATACTGTCCACATGTTTCTAATAATGTACAAACTAATCGAATTCTGAACAAATGATCTGGGGGATCCAAAACACTTGGTACATTATGATCCATACTGACTCCAAAAGTAATTAGGAGATACAGAGTTCGAAAAATATCTCCACTTTCCACCATGCGATAATTATACAGTTCTCCAAGATATTTAACCATTGCAATGCGACGTTGATTAAACTTTGGCAAATTAATTTCCATGCATAATCTTATATCTTCCAACACGCCATCAACTACATGGGGTCCTATAGTTTCGTAATACCCAACAAGTCCTGCTAATAAACTTCCCACACATCGAATATTTAAATATTTCACATTGTACGCGGCAGTGAGGCATTTAATAGCATAAGATGATACACTTTCATCTTCCCAGTCTAATTTACGCATCCATTTAAGAACTTTATCGGTATTGGTTTTCGAAAGATCTTGATACAGTAATTTTCGTATAAATTCATGAATTGGTGGTCTGTCCTTCTTAGAAACACCACCAGTTGATTCTGGTGGATTTACAAAATAATATGCATTCTCAATTATTGTTACATAACGTGAATCCAATGCAGTAACAGCTTTTTTACGCATCATTTGTTCCAAATATACTTTTGTTCTCTGGTGCGAATCTGGAGAACAAAACAAGTACCTACCACATGTTTCTAATAAATTACATGCCATTTCAATATGATGATGAGTAAAATCATGCAACAAAACTTTCAGACAATATAGTGCTTCTATCTTTGAATAAAGTTTAAATTTTACAAGTTCACCAATATACCTAACAACTTTTACTTTTGATTCAATATTAATTTGATCCTTTTTACGTACATGGTATTTAAAGTCATGTTTTAACATTAAACATAAGTCATTTCCAACGTCAGGCATAACGAGATAAAGAATAGCAGCCAGACGCGAGTAAAATGGTAGTAAATCCAAACGAATTCTAGACACGCCAAATAATGCTTTCACTAATTTTTTTTTGTTATGCTTTGTATTGAGATTCATTAAGAAGTGAACAGCTGCATTGTCAATCATTTCACGATTAACGCAATTTGGTAAATGTGTCAAGAATGCATCCAAGAGTATTTTATTACTAATGTTCGCAACTTGAGGTTCCTCCACCTCTGCTTCCGGTTCATCTACTTTTTCAGTTTCTTCCAGTTCATCAAACGTGATTTCTTCATCCAAAGCTTCTTCGCTTATTGGGACATCTTGTTTAGGTACTTCTTTCAAGTATGATCCTGGAAGGAACACTGTTAAATCTGGTAAAACTTCATAAAATCGTCTAGTTTCTTCATCTCCCCACATATCCTCAAGAATACTATTTTCCTCGCCCTCACTAATCATTTTCAATGTCTCTTCTGCTTCTGCTTTCATTTCACTATCGACAGGAAGTTCTGGCATAGGTTCGTCTAACGTATCTGAAAAACTTTGAACATTGCTAAGTAAGCGATCATAAGACACTTGTAGACTTTCAAGTTTCTCTTTTCTTTCAGAACTCAGTTCACCTCTGGTTTGTAAGATCTTTCGATTTTGCTTTTCAAAAGCTTGAAGGTCTTTATGTTCCTTCAATAAATGCTTGCATAACGAATTATAATACTCACGTAGCAACAACTTAACATTTTGCTGTTTATCAGGTGAAAGTAATTTACTTTTAGGGATTAATACATTTAATTTCTCTGATATTTCTCTTACTCGTTTAGGTACAAGACCTGCATAATCTTCACCACAATGTTTGCAGAAACTTAATATAATACTTGCATTGTTATGTTCTTCTTTATCCATATTAATTAAAACTGTTAATGCTGAACCCAGTAAAGGCAATCCTTGTTTATGCGTAAAAATTCCTGCATTAACTAATTCAGCATAAAACCTGAGGTCTACTCTAAGTTTGCTTGGATTTGCAATTTTATCCACAACTTTTAGCGATAAAATCCTTTGCCAATTTTCAAAGAAATGCGTAGAGAATTCTGCATATGTCTGATGTAGAAAACTGCATACTTTGATGGCAGGTGCAACATCTGTCATTTTTAGTTTGGCATCCACTAGAGCAGTAGCAACTTCACTTACATATTTTGTTAAATTTAAATGTGTCATATCTTTTAGAACCATGTCTAATTGTATGCTACTAAAATTTTTTAGTTTTTTAACAAATGTTGTGTTTCTTTTTAGTGTAGAATCCAATTTACTAAAATATGTATCTGGTGGCCTATTAGGATTTAAATTGCCTGCACGAATTTCTTCTTTTGTAGCAAGGCGTTGTTCTGTTTCTTTTACATAATCCATTAAGTATTGTTTGTCCTCTTCAGATACAACATCTTGTTCTACAGCTGCTTCTGCAGCTTCTGCTGGTGCTTCTTCGACTTCTGACATTGCTCAAAGCTGTTATACAAAATACATATGTTTATACAAAAAATCAGTTTTCTATGATAGCTAATATATATTTGCACACTACATTGTTAAAGTTTTCATTATCGTATTAATAAATGCATTTCATGGACAGTCAAAAGTTATTATTCTAAATCTATTAACATTTTTAACACAAGTAAATTGGAAAATATATATAATCCAGATGCTATGCTGCAGATACTATCATAGTATCATTCTTTAATGTAACATCAAATATTATGCATACTGTTTTATATTGTACTGCAAATATATATTTAAATGACAAGGAACAGAATTAAAAATAAATTAAATATATTTACTTAAATAAACTAAAAATAAAAGCTTTGTTACTTTTATTATTTATACAATTTTTATTTGATAGATTTTATTAAATTGTTTACTCACGATCTAAAGTGCAAAAAAGGTTATGTTATGGCAGACGACAGCTCCAATCTCCCAATGGTACAATCACAGACGAGATATAGAATAGACTTATCATCTTATGGGATTTCGTGTCTCATATTTTGAAATACCGATCGTGCAAATAATCAGAGATTTTGTACTGCCCTCTACGTTATGAAAACGGTGAATTTGAAAATTACATTCAATTTAAAGTAGACGCTCGATAATTGATCATATCGGGACGATAAAGTATAGAGTACCAAATTTCCAGGAACTGATCAAGACACAGCGACATACATATTTATAGGGTGGGCTGGATGTATGCACTTCTTGATCATCTTAATTACATATCTCCGTTATTTTAAAATTTAAAAGATATCAAAAAGTTTATTCACAAAGACAAATATCGGACTAATAGCAGAGTAATACGTATCAAAAACGTAATCGAAACACAGATTTTTATTACACCACAAATATCGCATAAAAGATATTTCGTTATATTGACATTTGTAATAATTATGGATGTTGCGGGGAAATCAATATTATTGAAATTATGGAACATATAACGAAATATCACTGTAACACTTAAAAAAGTTATAAAGTTCCATTTATATCATTGTCCTGTGAAAATGTTCATACTTCCAGCAGCATTCATATTACAATCAAAGAATTTACAGAATAAGGAAGAGGAATCTAAAGTAATTTTCCGTAGTTCCATAGATCTTTATCTCGAATAATTTTCTAAAACATTCAAAGTACTAGACATTTTTACACTTTGAATCTCATACCGATTTCTAAAATAATCCTAGTTCGATGTAATATAGAACGTGGCTTTATGAGATAGATTCGAAGTTCGCAGCCATTAGCTCGATATTGTCATCAGTTTACAGTACTTTACCGATGATAATACCGATTCCCAGGCCTCACCACGAGGAGGTTGCTGCGAGTGGAGGCCCAAGGCAGGTAGATGGAATCACAAGTTCTACATCTACCCACCTTTCACAATAAACCTTATAAAAGAGCATTGGATTATAGGTCTATTCTATACCTAGTGGGTGGTGGTATCACCGACTAGGTATAGAATAGACCTATAATCCAATGCTCTTTTATATCTTTTATTCTATACCTAGTCGGTGATACCACCACCCACTAGGTATAGAATAGACCTATCATCCAATGCTCTTTTCTGTCCCACGTTCGGAGGGCTACGTAACCCTCTTACCATTTTAGTGCCAATACCCGACGTTACTGATAAAGCATAAATTGTGAGTATTATTAGCACAAACGGAGCATTATATATTCTATTCATAATACGTGTATCCAATATGATTTGGTGGGAATAAAAATATCCGATGCTTCGGTTTAAAAGATGAATATTGTAATACTGATGAAATATGATAACTTATTCTAAATTTCATCGTTAACGTTCACGTTCCCTTTTTATTTGTTTTTATATTTTTTTTATCTGATAACGTGTATAAGAATCCTAATACGCACAATCAATTACCTTCCGGTAATTGGTGAGGAAGTAATTAAACAATGAACTTCGACCCAACTAGAGCTTAGCTAGTCTAGCATTCTTCATGAAAAATAGTTTTGATCTATTATTTAACTGGTAATATCTTTTGTATTGTATTTCATAAACTTTGTCATCATTGTCAAATTGACAGGATATATTTATCATAGATGGCGTTAGAGAACCATTGGAGGAATGAAAACTTCGAGAAGACGACAGTAAAATTAATACTTTCGATCTATTACGAAGTGGAATATCACATTTTTGGGGATAGTGTGTGTCTCTCTGTTTCCCTTCCATGATAGTCATTCCCTCCTGAATTAATCTCGGGTGCATATAAGAAAATATATTGAAATATAATTCGGCGGTACATATTCTATTTCGTTCAAATAGAAAGTTGAGCAAGCAGGAAAACGACCAATCTTCACGTTCTTCACCAACCGACGCACCAATCACAGGCCTTAGTTAGCCAGCCTAACGGTCATTCGTCCCAGGGAAGCTGGACTGATTAGACGTGTAGTGATCTCGCTCGTGGCGAAGTAAGTATTATTACTTTTCACTAAATTATTTATGAAATTAGTATCTACATTACCACTCTATCGTTACATTTGTTTAGTATCTATTCAATTCAATGCAAATAATCGTAAATTAACTCGGTATTGCTGGATAAAGTGAACTGGTTTCATGATTTCTGTTCTCTCTCGGTACCAATAAGTATTTACGCAGTTTTGTTTAATTTGCAATCTTTAGCGATACTCTTTGAATCAATAATTGTTTCGTTGTGACTCAGTCATTGTTAATTTAGTATAATTACTTGGTATTAACGTTTATTTTCTGTTCCAGAATTCCGGCTAAAAAGAACGCGCCAACGATGCCAATCCCATTAGACGCAATTTGGCGGGAAATTGGTGAATTCTGGTGATGTATTACAACAAAATAGTTAATATTCCACTAGATATTTTTATGTTAGTACACTTTTACTGTTTTGACCGTAAACTTGATCGCGATTTTCTGATTAACTGTGCTGAAAGCAAACAAGAATTTGTTCGAGAAATATTTCGCGTTCAAACGCAATTGAAGCATTCAATATGGCTTCTTGTTTGACCAGTAGGAAA